TTTGCAAAGTTGGCTGTGGATGACTAATTTCGTTTGAAAAGGAAAGTATTCCTCGCGCAAGCTAGAAAGACTGACAAAATTGAACTCATTTTTCAAATACCAGAGTTTGATGAATAACTTTTATTCACTTATTACTTGGAATTGTGCTGTGCTGAAATATGAAAGTTTCTAGCATAATGCAGCATGAAACAAACTAAATTGTATGTTGAGTCAAATCAGTATATTTTCTATATTTTGGAGACGTTTTTGTATCGCATATCTGGGGAGAATGTGAACGGTTTCGTCAAGTAATATAGATGGTTATGAATATGAAGTAAAAGAGTGATTTATTGATGATTTTGGGACCTCGCGATTATTTTCCTTCGAGAACGGCAAATCCGAGTATACAAATGACCACTAGACCGTGAGCCTTTATTTGGAAAAATAGAGAAATGTATAAGTGATTCGCAACAGCTTTACACACAGAGGATCTAGTGGTTGTCCGTACAAACTTTGTTGTCTCGCACAAAAGCGAACTAATCGGAATTTAAAGAACTGAAATATCGACATTGCTGCTTGTAGTTGCTTTACGGGGATGATTTAGTTGGGTTCTAAATTACAGGTCGCACATGTATTTTTGGCATATTCAAATGTCCCATTTAAATTCTCTTTTAATTGTGTTTTGAATTATTAGAATCATTAGTATGCATTTCGCATGTGATAATAGCATAAGTTTAATAACCCAATCTCTAAAGCTTCCTGTAGACTGAATCTATACTGAAATAATACAGTGGACTAAATATGCCTGGCGATGAAAACGAAGCCTTATATATGGTAATTAAAACTAAAATCGTCTTTTTAAACTGAACTTTTGGTAGAGTGATTTGAACTTCTTGGGAGCGTACTAAAAGCCTACTGATGTAAGCATCCATAACCACAAGACGCGGAAATAAAAACAACGAAGTAGCATTGGATATAATATTTTCTCAGCTTTTTAAGCCACGCAGACCTTGAAACATAGTCTTGTCTAACTGTCTCAAGGAAATGGATAGACTGACAACGTTTTTAGGGAGATTATTTACAACTGTAGGATTAAATCAAAGTCTTTTCTCGATCGCTAAATTTAGTTTAACTATACAGTGTAACAATGGAGCCATTTCACGGTTTGCTTGTGTTTCATTACAAGACAAGTACGGTGACACAAACGCTTGTTGGTTTGGGAACGTATTCGGAATTTCAATAAAAGATATCGATTATGTTGCATGCAGCTATTTGTCTTTTTTGTCACTCTAAATTACTAGTCAAATTCGTGGCCTGATCAAGTATTCCTTTTAACATCTCTCCTAAATGTGTTTTGGATCATAACATTACGTAAGCATGCACTGTACGCAATTACCCTTCTTCCAAGAAGTTCTGTGGAGTAAAGCTAAACCGAAATATTATTATAACTAGCTCTACCTTGGCCTGAAAACAAAGCCTTTGGTAAAGCTACAAGAGCCCTTTTGAACTAACTCCTTGGCTCAGTGATTTCTGTCTCGTTTGAAACGAGCTAAAAGCCTACTGATGCGAACAACCGCAAGAACAAGACATGGAATTAATTTCGAAATAGTATGGAGTTTATCTAACTATCAGCGTTAAAGAAACCAGCGCCTGAATCGGAGTCTTGTTAAACGTTCTCTAAAGATTATGGATAAAAGACACTTTTGGC